GCTTTCTAGATGTCTAAACTGGAGGCAAGTGTGGATAGGTCGCTCATTCTTTGAGATTTAACACTTGTTTTCTTGTTTCAGATATCTACGAGCGAGCTAATTAGTCAAAATTTTCTCCCGCGATGTTAGTATTAAGAGGCTATTTGTAGAGGGCTTCCTAGTAGCTTCGGTTGGTAGTGGGGAGGGAGCTCATAATGAGCTCGTTGCTGTCACTCTTGAGCGGACTACGCGTAGTGAGGTTGAGAACTCACTGAACCAAGGTGACGAAAACCCTGGCATGAGCCCTTGCGCCAAATTAGGTTTAGGAAAGATCCAACCTCCTCGATCACCAAGGTTGGTCTGAGGTGGATAAGGGAGAGCTACGCGATCCCACGCGAATATCATCTTCACGGTTCAGGAGATACTTTGTGGAAGCATTCCCCCACAGGTTGGGTGGTGATCTCTGAAACTCTCCTGAGGTGTGATATGTCGATCCCACCTCACCAATTCATCTCCGACGTTATAGACCGCTTTAACATCGCTTCCCTTTAGTTGATGGGGAATTCTTATATAATAATGGTAGGCATGTACATTGCCCACATTTTAGAAAAGATTGGCGAGCTATCTGTAGACGAGCTCATCTGCTTGTATAGGTTGAAGAAAGGTTAAGGTGACACTTTCTATCTTTCCAAAACGAGGACATCCCATTTAGATGGGTTGATCAACGTCCCCAAGAAGCTCAAAAATTGGTATTGTTGTGGTTAGTGGTGGATTTTCCACCGAACTTATGTACAGATAGCCATGTATAAGAGAGAGAAGCCACTTGTGGCTTATTTTCTTTTGTTAACTTGGGCGGCCGGCCACTATCTAAGTCCGCAGACTTTTGCAAAATTTGTATTAGAATGAAATAAAAGAGAAGCAAAGCAAAATACTTCTAAGCCCATATTAATGTGATCCATTTAATTTAGTCCTATATATAATTTCTTACAATTATTATACGTTATCGACGCTACTAAACTATGTAATTACCATGACTCATGTTTTATTACATGCTATCATACGATCTTTATGAGTATGCTTTGTGGATATCAATAAATTGAATCTTCCACATCAGAAAATAAGGCTAGTTTATTTGTTAATATTTTCCTATAGTTATGTCCAAAATATCAATATTGCAAGTCTACAATTTAAAGAACTTAGTCAAAATGATGAATATGCTGATCACCTATGGCCAAAACAAGCTGCTTTAAAGATGAAAAAGAAACCTGGCCTGGCCCGGGCCCCGGGTGGCTTGGCCCATGTTTGGCTCGGCCCGGGCATATAACACCCAAGTCTGGGCTTGGAAAATTAGGCCTGGGCATATACAACACTCATATTCGGCTTCCCTAGCTGAGAGGCACCGAGGAGAGGCTAAAGCTTCGTCTACCGAAGCTGGATCTTGAGGCTCGGGTGAAGTTAAGTGTTGTCACGGCCATGAGACTAGAAGATGAGCTGATGTTTGAGACCTGGTTTTCATAGGATGTAATCTAACAAGAGGCTTGATATTAGACTTGCTATGAAATGGAGTGGCAGAATTGAGATCCATATGAAAGGGAATAGACATAGCAGAGAAATTACTAGGATAAGAGAATGGCCTGCTTGGAGTGAAGAAGAATTTGGCCAATAAGAGATAGGATTGGAAACTAAGGGTGTTGTACAGGAAACATGTATAGGAGGGGTTTAGAGTGTGGCGCGTGGACAATTTATGGCTGAGGAGCAGTACTTGGCTTAAAAACTTGTGCTGATGGGATAAAAAAAGGTAAGTGAACTAGGCAAGAAATTACATTTGGAAAGCATAGTAGATATAGGCCAAGATACAGGAAAGACTGAAATAAAATTAGAAGAAGAACAATCAGGAGTACCTGAATTGAAGTTTGAAGTGGCTGATTTTGAAGAAGTTGAAGAACCAAAACCTCGTCCAAAACGCAATCAATTTCAGCAAAAGAAACACTCCTCACAAAGTATATCCTCCCTGACGAGTTTAAGTATTTATACCCTTTATGCAAGATACTGTATCCGAGAAATACACATTGAGCTTAATGAAAACCAAACTTGTGTTTTGCCTAAGGCCTGAGATATTGAAAACAGGCACACATAAACACTTCGAGAAAGGAATAGTCTAGTTTCTGACGAAATAACACTTCATAGGGAGAAACATTCTGCAGTACAGGAGTAGGTAATCTATTAATAAAAAATTAAAAAAGTTTGGAATAAGGTCTGCCACCAGTATACTAAAGGCATGGAAGCTTGTGCCATGAGGGCGAGACCAATCTCCAACAAATGTCTATTCTTTCTCTTAGCTTTACCATTCAGCTGAGGAGCATTAAGGACAAGAATAACGGAATATAATACCATGTTGCTTCAAATAAGGCATAAGAGCAGCAAGAAATTCACCACCTGAATCAAACTGAAAACACTTTAAAGATGTGTGAAATTGTCGTTCAGCCATAACATGGAACTGTATAAACACTTATTTGGTTCTGATTTAGCTTTCAATTGAAAAATCCAAGTAAATCTACTAATATCTTCAATGAAGTGAACAAAGTACTTGAATCCTTTGGTGGACAGCATAGGGGTAGGACCCCAAACATATGTATGAACCAAATCTAAAGGTACTGAGGTTTTTGATGTTGAATGAGGGGAAACTAATTCAACTGTGAAAAATCCATCAGTGGAATAAGAAATTGAATTGGTGAAAGTAGTAGCATCAGTGTAGTTGGTTGGGGAACAAGTCTTCAAAGGTAATGTAAGGCAATAAAGACCTTGTTTAAGCTTCCCTTGAAGCAGGATTGTCTTTGTGTTCTTGTCCTTAATCAAGCAACAGTAGAGTGAAATTCAACAACAACGGGATTATCAATAATAAGCTTTGATATTCTGATCAAGTTCTTGGTAACATAATGAACATGAAGCTCCTTATTAAGAGAAAGAAATTGAGCTTGATAACAAGGTAATGTAGTATATCCAACATGTAAGATTTCAAGAAACTGACCATTACCTACTGTAAGATGATCAGCACACCCTTGTACTTAGTATGAAATGAAAGATTACTTAGCTCGGAAGTAATGTGGTCCGAGGTGCCAATATCAAGGTACCACGCAGGATCAATACTGTGGTAGGGGAAGCTATAAAAGCCTGAGAGATATCAGCGGGAACTTGTGATCCAGAAGAGTAAGCTATATCAGCTTGTGACTTTGAAGAGTTTGATTGCTGTTGAAAGGAAGGTAGAGGCATAGACTAAACTTTAAAACCAGAAGATGATTGAGGTTTTTGGTAGCTTATATCGAACCTATGATAACGCTACATTAGGACATGGCCTAATTTGCCACAAAGTTGACAAATAGGCTTGCATCGGTCTCCACCAAAACGGTCACAACCATGACCTCTAGCATTGTACTGAAATGGAGCATGAAATTCCCCTTGTGCTCATGGAAAAGGAGCAGAATTTGTCAATTTGTTCATTTTGTGTATATATCATTAACAGACAGAAAAACCTTTGCAAGTTGTTTGAAGAAAATACCTAAGATGCATAACCTAAGATTTTTCTTTAGTTAAAATGAGTTTCTCAAGAGCAATCCAAATTTCCTGTGCACTATTACACTTTACAACATGACGCATCATCGATTCAAAGACAGAAATAAGTAGACAGTTTACAAGAAGTTGATTCATTCTACTCCATATAGCATAATCAGGATTAAACTAACAGAATTCTGTGTGTAGGATTACCGTGACCAGATTTCTTTATGTTGCATCATAATCAATGATGTACGAAGTATATACTTACCACACATAATCCTTCGCTATGAGATTTTAAAGCTCTTTAAAATTTTATTGTGCTTAATTATGATTGTATATTGATCTCAAGAGCAAACAATTAATTACGATGAAGGATATACATACTCTTTCTGTCTGCCAGACACATAACATGCTTCGCTGTGAAGTTATGAAAACTCTTTAAAATTTTATTGTGGTTATGATTTTATATTGATCTCAAAAATAAACAAACTAGCTGCGGATTGTTGAAGCCATGGTGATCACGTAGTCAAATAAAATTGTGTCAATGGATTTAATATATAAGACTTAACTATATTCATAAAAGTAGTGCCCAATTGATTCATTTGAGCCATGGAAATGATGAACATATTACACTTAAAAATATACAAGAAGACTGTAGTACAAGAATTCAAAGTTCAAATACAAAAATACACATTGAAAATAGATCTATCTCCTAATACAATTACTGAAACCACTCAACTTGCATACAAAAATACGCACTGAAAATAGATCTATCTCGTAATACAATTACTGAAACCACTCAACTTGCTTAATGTAACAAATGGTTTGTATGAAAGTTAGCAGTAGCAGTATAATTGCAGCAATAGTTCCTGTGCCTTTCCATAGATTGCTGAAATAAACTCTTTTCAAAGTTGCCCTTTTACGGTTCCAGCCACTGTCATAATGTGCATTTAGAACCCTGGCAATGCCACTATAACAGGACTGACTTAAATTAATGTTAAGGCCAAGTGTGACGCCTCTCAAGCATTTCATCGAACACTTGGTGTGCGTCACCCGGACAATCTAGAAGCTTCCAGAATACTCTTGTATATGCTAGAATATTGTAATTAATGTGGTAGTTGGTAGATAGTAGTTGGTAGGTGGTAGTTTGGAGTTAGCTAATCTCCACCGTTGATCTCAAGAGATCTTGACCGTTCATTGTATACTCCAAATACTATAAAAGGGGGAGGCCTTCATTTGGCCAAACCATCCAAGAATTGTAAAGTTCTCTCAATTAGTAAAACAGTTCTCTTCTAGCATCTCTTGTGAGTTTGTGTGAGTGTTTTCTTACTTGCAGGGCTAGGAGCGTGAGCAAGCAAGGCTGACTTAGGGCAATCGTCGGGAGATTAGCACCTAAGGCCGAACGAGTCCGAAGGGAAGCAATCGGGTCGTTACAGTTGGTATCAGAGCGGGAAGATTCTTGGTTCAAGATGTCGTCCGAAGTTTGCCATGAAGAGCAAAGGGGGAGGGAGGCCATTCCTAACCCCAACCCCTCCAAGAAGAACTCTCGAGGAGGGAAGGACAAGTCCGTGGACATGATCGCCTCCATGGAAGCACGGGTGATGCGCAACGAGGTGAATGTTGCCGAAGTGAAGGAACACCTCGACGTCCTCGATCAAAAGATGGACGATGTTGAAGGCATGGTCGAAACCATGGGAGAGTTTCGCCAACATGTTGCCGACAAGCACCAAGCTTTTGAGGAGTTCCAAGCGGTGGTGTTGGACTCTCTCAGGACATTACAAGCTCAAGTGGAAGAGCTCCGATCGGGTCTAGAAGAAAGCAAGGGCGATTGGGCGTTTTGTAAGAGGGCGGTGGCAAACGGGGTCGTCACCAATGCCGCACCTCCCGCAAGGGTCGAAGTTCCAAGACCGCGGAAGTATGGGGGAAAGCGGGATGCCCAAGAGCTGGAGAACTTTCTATGGTCCATGGAGAGGTACTTCGAAGCTACCAATGTCCAAAGTGAGCAAGAGAGGGTGAACATTGCGACCGGGTATCTTGAGGACCATGCAATAGCGTGGTGGCAACGAAAGCATGCCGAGATTATGCAAGGCACATGCATCATCAACACTTGGGAGCTACTCAAGTGTGAAATCAAGAAGCAATTCTATCCGGGCAACGTGGCATATGAAGCACGGAAGAAGATGCGAGAGCTTAAGCACACGGGGCCGATTTCCAGGTATGTGGATGAGTTCTCTAAGCTTATGCTTCAAGTTGATAATATGAATTCGGAAGATTTGCTATTTAATTTTATGGAGGGGCTCCAACCCTGGGCACAACGGGAGCTCCAAAGGCGTCAAGTAGCCAACATCTCCTCAGCCCTTACCGAAGCCGACACCCTTGTTGAGTTCCGCAAGGGAGAGACATCCAAGCCGAAGAAGGATGGCAAGTCCGATCACGGCAAAGGTGGGGGAGGAAAGGGAGACAAACCATCCCACCGAGAAAAGGGAGATAAGCCGCCGCACAAGAAAGAATGGCGGAAGGATGGCAAGAAGGAGTACAAGCGTCGTGAGAATTGCTACCTTTGTGATGGGGACCACTGGATCCGTGACTGCCCCAAACGCAAGGCCTTCAATGCCATGTTCGAAGAGAAACAACCTGAGACATCCGCATCCGAGACAGCCAACATGGGATGCCTCCAACTTCTCAATGCCTTGAAGGTAAAACCCGCACAACCGAAAGTTCAAGATAAGTCCCTCATGCATGTCGAAGCCACCATCAACGGGAAGAAAGTTCAAGCCTTATTGGACACGGGTGCTTCCCACAACTTCATCAAAGATAGTGAGGCAAGACGGTTAGGCCTCAAGGTGGAGAAATCAGATGGATGGCTCAAGACGGTGAATGCTGAAGCTAAACCACTTGGGGGCGTGGCTCGGAACGTTGAGCTACATCTTAGCACATGGAGCGGCAAGGTATCATTTTCTGTTGCACCTTTAGATGATTTTAACCTTGTTCTTGGCATGGAGTTTCTCAGGCAATTCAATGCGGTGCCCCTACCGCAATACAAATCAATGTGCATCCTGGAGGGAGTCCCGTGCATGGTTCCAACCGTAAGCAAAGCCGCACCAAGCAACCAACTCTCCGCAATGCAAATTGAGAAGGGACTTAAGCGAAAAGAAGAGACCTTTATCGCAATGGTGCATGAGTTGGAAGATGAGAGAGGTGTGGACACTATAGAGCCGGTACTGGGGGAAGTATCCAGAGTCCTTAAAGAATACAAGGACGTCATGCCATCCGAGTTGCCAAAATGTCTACCACCTAGGAGGGAGGTGGACCATAAGATCGAGCTAGAGCCGGGAGCCAACCCACCCACCAAAGCTCCACACCGGATGTCGCCACCAGAATTAGATGAGTTGCGGAGACAACTCAAAGATCTCTTAGAGGCCGGATTAATCAAGCCTTCAAAAGCACCATACGGAGCTCCGGTCCTCTTTCAAAAGAAGCAAGATGGGTCGCTTCGCCTTTGCATCGACTATCGGGCACTTAACAAGGTAACCATCAAAAACAAATATCCCATTCCACTAATTGCCGATTTGTTTGATCAACTTGGACAGGCCAAGTACTTTTCTAAGCTTGACTTGAGATCGGGGTATTACCAAGTGCGGATTGCGGAGGGGGATGAGCCGAAGACTGCATGTGTGACGCGCTATGGAGCCTTCGAGTTCAAAGTCATGCCATTCGGCCTCACCAATGCCCCTGCCACATTTTGCACGCTCATGAACCACATCTTCCATCCATATCTTGATCGGTTCGTGGTGGTTTATCTCGACGACATTGTGGTGTATAGCAACACTCTTGAGGAGCATGCCGAGCACCTGCGGACAGTTTTTCGAGTGTTGCAAGAAAACAAGTTGTATGTCAAGCGGGAAAANATATTGGATCGGCTCCACAAAGAAACCGGATATCCGGATCCGATCCGGTTTTGTCCATAACTACAAGTTTTAAGAAGTTATTTTGTGGTCCTAGGTGAAAAGTGGTAAAGTATGTGGACTATTTAGAAATGTGATGACAACTTTAGGGGTCAAAATGTAATAAAATGATGATGTGGTAGGGGGTAATAAGAATAATGCAAAATTTTAGGGGATAAATTGATATTTTTCATACAAATTCGGATAAAACTGGATCAGACGAAATCCGGATCAAATTCGGATCAGGTTTCATCCTGATACGAATTTTCGGATTGGATCAGAAAAATGGAAAACCGGATTGGATATCCGGTTTTGCACACCCCTACCAACGGCATCTACTATACAAAACCCCTCTTACCCTGACTCCTAGTAACTCGCCAAACACCGGTTAAAAAAAGTGAAGTGTATTTTGGATATTAATGGAATATAAACTTGAGTAATGCTATGCTTACTCACGTATCTTACTAACCATCTTACTATCCTTTGTAAATATAAAGTATAGTATAAGTACTTTACGCATAATACAGATACTATATGTAATTTTAACAAAGGTAGTAAGACGGTTAGTAAACTCGTGAGTAAGCATAACATTATTGTATAAACTTTGGGTAAGAAAGTGATATTTTGAAACTTTTTGAGTGAGAAAGTGTCATTAAGGCAAACCTTGGGCGGGAAACAGTCGTTTACTCATATCATGCATTCTTATAGAAGTTGATTTTCTTTTTGTACAATACCATATGTTAAGTTTTATTTGACAGTTACTTCAATTTGATTGCTGTGCACTTTTCACCAGTGATGGAGAAATGGCGACTACCAATGTTCGTGATCAAAATCAGTAATCTTTGATGTAGCAGCATATAAATATATATAGAAAGTGAAAAGAAAGGCAGTAATCTTTAATAAACATGGAAGTGGGCAAAATTATAATTAATTAAATACCATATGATCTGCATAGACATATAAATTAGGAGATAATCAAGGTTTGACTTGAAAGAAAGGTGGTCAGACAAATTAATTGATTACCTTTGACACCACTCTAAAGTTGTTCTAACAACTAGTCATCTCAAATGTTGCTATTCATCGAGCTGTTCTTGTTTTCTCTATGCTTTAAACTACAGAAATCTACTACAATATTTTTTTATCACCTTCAGCTACTCAGTTAACCTCCGTCAACTCTTTATATAAATCCTAACGTATAAACTTCGATGAATACATACTCAAGTTGTTCTATACATCCATCAAATACTCGAGTCTCGACCCTAATTCCCTAAAGAAAAATGGGTTCTTCTCTTCTTCAATCACCAGCACTTGTAGGAGTCCTCTTCTCTTTTGTCATATTGTCTCTGTTTGCTGAGCCTGCACTTGGCATCACTAGGCACTACAAGTTTGATGTATGTGTAATACTATAATATGACCCTACATTCTATGAATTATTTTCAACTTAGTATCTTTTTAACTTATATCAAAATATTTTGCAGGTCAAATTGCAAAATGTGACACGTCTGTGCCATACCAAAAGCATTATATCAGTAAATGGGCAGTTTCCAGGGCCTCGCATTGTTGCAAGGGAGGGTGATCAACTTCTAATCAAAGTGGTTAACCATGTCCAAAACAATATCTCCATCCATTGGTATAAATACATGCACATTTAGCATATTTAGTTTTCAGCTAGACAGCTACCTGGTACAAGATGATATAATATACATTTAAGAAGAAAAATCATTTTTTTAGCTCATATAGGCATTGCAAGTTATATGGTTTGTTTGAAACAGGCATGGCATTCGGCAGCTTCGAAGTGGATGGGCTGATGGGCCAGCATATATAACACAATGCCCCATTCAAACAGGGCAGAGTTATGTGTATAACTTCACCATTGTTGGGCAGAGAGGTACACTGTGGTGGCATGCTCATATATCATGGCTAAGATCAACTCTCTACGGTCCCATCATCATTCTTCCCAAGCGTGGCATTCCTTATCCATTTGTCAAACCTTACAAGGAAGTTCCCATCATCTTTGGTAATGACATGATTACACACAATTGGAGTTTGGCAATATTTATCCTATCTGCTAATCAGAATTTGCTTAAATAAAAAAAATATTGTTTTAATTGCAGGAGAGTGGTTCAATGCAGATACTGAGGTTATCATTAGCCAGGCCCTTCAAACAGGTGGAGGCCCAAATGTGTCTGATGCTTATACCATCAATGGACTTCCAGGGCCTTTATATAACTGCTCAGCTAAAGGTGTCATATCCCACAACATATTGCATTGTCTGTTTCGTTTCAATAAATTTATACTATGAATAAGATCTTTTTATTTGATTTAGCATGAATTTGTGTTGCCAGATACATTCAAGCTGAAGGTGAAGCCTGGAAAAACTTACCTTTTGCGTTTAATCAACTCTGCACTCAATGACGAGCTCTTCTTCAGCATAGCTAATCATACTGTCTCAATTGTTGAAGTTGATGCCGGTTATGTGAAGCCTTTTGAAACTGAAACACTACTCATTGCCCCTGGACAGACAACAAATATTCTTCTCAGAACAAAATCCCAGTACCCAAGTGCCACATTTTTTATGACTGCTAGACCTTATGTGACTGGTCAAGGCACTTTCGACAATTCAACTGTTGCTGGTATTTTAGAGTATGAAAAGCCACGCAACTTTCATTCCAGAAACTCCATCAAAAAACTTCCTCTCTTTAAACCAATTCTGCCTCCTCTCAACGACACTTCATTTGCTACTAATTTTACCAATAAACTTCGCAGCTTAGCAAGTGCACAATTCCCTGCCAATGTGCCCCAAAATGTTGATAAGCGATTTTTTTTCACGGTAGGCCTAGGAACAAGTCCCTGCAACAGTAACCAAACCTGCCAAGGCCCCAATGGAACCATGTTCGCGGCTTCAGTTAACAATGTTTCTTTTATAATGCCAAGCACAGCTCTGCTCCAGTCTCACTTTTTTGGCCAATCAAATGGCGTTTACAACGCCAACTTTCCTATATATCCATCAATTCCATTTAATTACACCGGCACCCCACCAAATAATACGATGGTGAGCAATGGAACAAAGTTAGTGGTACTTCCTTATAACACAAGTGTGGAGCTCATTATGCAGGATACAAGCATACTTGGTGCTGAAAGCCACCCTCTACACTTGCATGGCTTCAATTTCTTTGTTGTCGGACAAGGTTTTGGAAATTTTGATCCAAACAAAGACCCTGCAAACTTCAATCTTGTTGATCCTATTGAAAGGAACACTGTTGGTGTGCCCTCAGGTGGGTGGGTGGCCATTCGTTTCCTTGCAGACAATCCAGGTGGGTTACAGACAAAGGGCACCATAACGTGCATTAGTTAAATGATCTTCACACATCTTATCGCTGATTAAGACTCGAATTCAATTATAACAATCTAGGGACTAGGACAGATAACTTTATTAGGACTAAATATTTATAGTATATTATATATGTTTTTTTTTCGATAACTTAAGTTAATATTGAAGCTCAACTGTCTATCAACAGGGGTATGGTTTATGCATTGCCACCTTGAAGTCCACACCAGCTGGGGTCTTAAGATGGCTTGGATTGTATTAGACGGAAAGCTTCCTGAACAGAAGCTTCTTCCTCCACCTGCAGATCTTCCCAAGTGTTAACGTTATTTTTACTCACTTTTTGGCCCGCTCTGACCAGAAATTGCCTGGATGGTTTTCTTTTTCTTTTTGACTTTTCAATTCAGTTTAATTCTTCAGCGGAATTTATGTTTGTTGATCCATGTGGAGTCAAGGAACAAAGAATGGACAACTTTTTGTAACATGTACAATTCAATAATATTATCCAACTCTCTGATTTGTTTTGCTGAAAATCCTAAATAATCTGTGTACCATGATGTTAATTTTTTGTGTAAACTCTGTTACTGGAAGACTGATATGAGCTGAAAATTGCAAAGAGGGTGATGTCTTGCCTCCATTTTGTAGTAAATTAAGACAAACGACTTTCATTAATAACTTCACGAATCACTTTGCCTTGCACAGACCCAAATAATAATCCTTTGTAATTTCCACATCTAAACAGGCCGCATAATTAGCCTTGTGTTTAAGGACAGCAGACTTTGACATTGTGTTTGTAAAATATCTGGAATTAACGAGAACAGTTCATGGATGTGAATTTGTAAGAGTCCAAATAATCCTGAATTCAATATCAGATTGCACAAAGATTGGCATCTATGCTTACTGCTGCAGACAAAGAGCGTCGGTATTAACTCCTACTAATAAAGTTATACACTATGTTGTTCTCTGTAGAGTCGCTAATACAGTAGATGACAATCCGATAATAAATAAGAATATATATCGGCCTGCACTGGATAAAAGAGTTCAAGATTAAAGCCGTCCACAGAACGAATTTTTTTATGTGTCATGGCCAATGAGAGTACTTTATCCATAGGAACACATGGTTAGTCTAAGTGTATTGCACTAAAATACTATGAACGTTGAATTCCAAAGGATCTGGTACACAGACAATTATGAAGGCAATAATGCTATGAGTTCCAGGAGACATTTGGCATTTGCACTCAGACAAATCCCTTGATAATATAAAGGGCTCTAGATATTTAAATGCATAATAAAACTTGGGACTGCATTAATTTTTAATTTTTTACAAAATAAAAAATCTGAGGTCACAGACCTATAATAAATTATAACACCCACATAAAAACAAATAGCTCATTAGTCGATAATAGTCTAGCCATCCTTCACTTACATATAATACCTTTCTGGAAACCTAACATCGACTCTCAACTTAGAATAGCCATGAAGTTGTACAAGCTCCTTGTCCCTCTTCTTCTAAATATTCTCTTAACCATAGTTACATCAATCCAAGCAGCCCCGGGAAACTCAAAACTGTTTAGAGAATACATAGGAGCTGAGGGCAAGGACATTACATTTTCAGATGTACCAGTTAGTTCTAAAGTTGAATTTCACTTTATTCTCTCCTTTGCTATAGACTACACCTCATCTTCTCATCCATCCCCTACCAATGGTAACTTCAGAGTATACTGGGACACAGAGAACCTTACCCCTTCTCGTGTTTCCTCCCTCAAAGCTCAGCGTCCAAATATCAAGGTGGCTATGAGTCTTGGTGGTGATACCATTAACGGCAAATATGTATTCTTCCACCCTGCATCAATCAACTCTTGGGTCAGAAATGCTATTCATTCAATAACAGAGATAGTAAAAAGTTACAATTTGGATGGAATAGATATTGACTACGAGCACTTTAACACAGATCCTGATACATTTGCTGAGTGCATTGGGAAGCTTCTGTTCTACCTTAAACAACAGAAAGTTGTGTCTTTCACATCAATAGCACCATACGATGACAATTCTGTGCAACCACATTACATGGCTCTGTGGAGGAAATATGGGCATCTCATAGACTATGTTAACTTTCAGTTTTACGCCTATGATAAGGGGACAACTATTTCTGAGTTTCTGAAATATTTTGAAGCCCAGAGCTCTAATTACTATGGAGGTAAGGTCTTAGTGAGCTTTGGTACTGACGGAAGCGGGGGTTTGTCTCCTCAAAATGGCTTCTTTCAGGCTTGTAGTAAGCTGAAAAGTCAGGGGAATCTTCATGGTATATTTATTTGGTCAGCAGATGACTCCAAGAAGGATGGTTTCCGCTATGAGAAACAGTCACAGAATTTTTTGGCCTCCTCCAAATGATCTGTCTCTCTGATGCGATGTATAAAGCCAGTTTTTAGCTATAGATTAAATAAAACCAGATGCATTTACAGCCGATTAGATTGTTACAGAGTTTTTTATTGAAAACTAATTGAATGGAAAAAGAACGGACAGTAATAACATCACAAATTCCAGATTATTTCTGTCTATCAAAGTGTATGAGCTCAACTGTTCAACATGTCTGCTCTCAATATTGTCTTACATGAAAATTTCTTACATTACTATTCAAAGCGATCTGAAGTCTAATAGTCTGGACTCTGGAACATATAATTTTCCTTAAAGAAAGAAAGCATATTTCAATGAAACTAAGTTTGACATTAGTTCTTGCTTGTTCCTAGAGCAATTTAGTAAAGCAGAAGGAACACAAATGTCACTGCTCATGAGTAACACTATTCATATACAATGTCATCCAGAAAAGAGGCAAACATTTAACATAAATTTCAGACAATAGTTATGCATAATGTACAAGTTATTTATTATATTAACTTTTGAATTGACACAGGACTTTCAAATTCAAGAAAGGGACCAGCATCAAAGAGTTGGTAGGTCTCCAGAAGTTTCTAATAATCGCTTCAAATATAACATTTATGGTAATCAAAACATTCAAGGAATGGTAGGCATGTACTACACGAGCAAACAGTGATCTGAGAGATCAAAGATTCAAAAAACCTGGAAGGGAGGTGATTATTTTGAACTTAATGAGCAAATAACTTAAATTTACAAACAACCACCAATAAATAGAATTTGCAGTAACTTAAACCATAAGAGGGGGCAGGGGTGAGTCAACTTTTGGGAGAAAAATTTCATTCCATAAAAAGAAAAATTTAGAAAAGTATTCAAGTATGGCCTTCTCTAAAATTATATTGCAAAATTATTATGCTGCTCAAATCAGCCATTACAAAACTGTAACATAAATCCTAAAAAAGTTCACAGCTGATAACAATATGTGGTGAAACATTTTGCCATACAGATAAATCGGTCATATGAGATCCCATGATAGCCACACATGTTAAAATGGCGTCAGTTAGTCATTAGTGAATGACTAAACAACTATTATAAGCCAGGTTTCATTTCCTTACTGCTATAGATATTATACTTAAGTTACAAACTTCAAGTGACTATCAACTGTTATACTGCCAGCCACGGGCGTCCGACACTAAAGGATAATGCAACAATAAGTTTCAAGAGACAATAAAAGAAGCATTTATGAAGTTTTTCCTCTCTCATACAGTGTTGGTGTCGACCATTTTGATCAAAAAACTGAAACACAGATCCAGTTGAAAGCATTTTTCATCAACAAGTGAAAGCACCACCCTCACTTCAATTGCAATATATTCTAAAAATTCTTTGTATTAATAAACAGAAAACTCGTACATAGTTTCAAATTGCAGATATCAACAACAATAGAACAAATAATATAATTAAATTAACATCAGATTAAATATTAATAAATCACATTGCAATTCGATTATCATGATGAAAACTACACAAGACTAGCATCTCCCTTATCATTAAGCGAAACTGCAATCCCAAAAAATTACCCATTTAGCTGCCACACTACATTTTGCTCCAAAACAAAATTTACCAAATTTAACTGTGCTCCTCAGTTTTTCTTTTCTTTTTCTTCTTAATTGGTGATTCTTCTGAATGTATTTCCTCTCCCTCCTCAATCTCACCGCTTTTTCTCTTCTTTTTCATCGTCTTCTCCTCGACCACTTCAATTCCACTCCCGTTAACTGTTAACTCACCTCTCTCCTTCTTCTTCTTATCCTTATTTATCTTGCTCTCTAATCCATTACTGAGCCCGTGACTTGATTCTCTCAACTCGGGATGAGTCAGTTGTTGATCAGAGAGGACACTTCGGGTCGGCTTTTCCTCTTCCGCAACAATGTCTGACTTGGAAATTTTGTGTTTGCGATTGGATTTCAGTTCCTTGTGAAGCTGAGACAACTCATTAAAAGAAACAGAAGCACGTCGAAGGTAGGCGCAGAGCGCCGGTGAGGCGTTGGTGTCGGCATTGACGAATTTGGAGAGAATGGAGGCGGCTTTGGAGAGGGATATCGGGGTTGTGGAGAGGACCCGTCCGGTGACTGTCTTCATCCTTACTGATTAGGGTTACAATTAGTTTAGTTTAGTTAAAGTTTTCTCACTGGTATCTAGGGTTTTTAGCCAGAGAGAAACATAGGGTTTTTGGTTTGAAGAAAGGGACACAGTTTCTGCTCACGCCCTACGTTATGCGTAGCTTCACTCACCCTGCCAAATTGCAGCCTTCAGATTCGCTCTGAAAAAAATTCAATGGTTCATATTAAACATGGACAAGTTTTTATTTTTAATACATATTATTATTTTAATAATTAAGAAAAAAAAATATATATATATATATAACGGTAGACTATGCAGTATATACCAACGGAGTAATATTATTTCAACAACTCTTTTTCACAAACTTTTTCTTACAATCTTAACATGATAATTCATAATTGATTGATTCGTAATTAATTAATGAAACCCATATATGATCCGTATAAGACCCGTTGTGAACTAATCAATTGTAAACTATCACATCAGATGTGTAAAAGATGATTATTGATGTAATATTATTCTTACAAATTATAAGTGATATATTAATTTGATTTCACGAAATTCGTATTTATATTACAGGTAGTCATCTACACAGTCAATAATCATCAAATAAATGTTACAAATAATTTTATTAATATTATTTAATATGGGTCTTGAAAAAAGTTTTACTGGGGCTCAAATAAAACTTCTTTACTTGAGCATATCATTCTACTTGTTATTTCTATTTGAAGCAATATATAGCGTGGACAAAAATCAAAGAGAAAAAGGCCCCAATAAGAAAATAAAACCATGATCAAGAACCCTTATAAAAAGACTTGTAATTGAAGAAGAAGGGATAAGTCAAATTCTACTGCACACCAACAAGCATGCTTAATTAATGCCTTATGCTATCAATATTCAATACTATCTCTTTATTTTCTGTTCACTCTTCTCAGNTAACGGTAGACTATGAGGTATATATAAACAGAGTAATACTACATCAATAACTCTTTTTCACAAACTTTTTCTCACAATCCTAACATGATAATTCATAATTGATTAACGTAATTAATTAGTGAAACCCATATAGGATCTATATAAGATTCGTTGTGAACTGATCAATTGTAAACTGTCACATCAGATGTGTAAAAGATGATTGTTGGTGTAGTATTATTCATACAAATTATAAGTGATATATTAATTTGATTTCACGAAATTCGTATTTGTATTGCATGTATCATCAAATAAATGTTAGACCAATAATTTTATTAATATTATTTAGGCCGACCGACTTGTGCATACCCAAGGTTTACCGTAACGACAAGTTGGTACCCGAAAGGTTTTAAAACGACAAATAGGTACCTTCCGTCATGTTCTGTTAGTGATTTCTGTTTATTAATAGTGAAAAGACTAAAATGCCCTTCAAAGTTTCAATTTTAGTTTTTTATAAATTTAAAAATTTCTAAAAAGCTCCCTAGGTTTGCTAATTTAATTAAACACCCCCATATATAAAAAGTTTGTTAAATGACAAAAACACCCCCACCACCCCCAATGCCAGATTCCGGCCACCATCGTCGGAATCTGGCCGAAAAACTGCATTACGACACAGACCCGTCGGATCTGTGTCGTAACGTGCCGATCTTTCCTTTTCCGGTCAGATCCGCCACGGATCTGGCTGGAAAAGGCAAGATCGGCACGTCGAAGCAGTAGCCAGATCTGGCCTTTTCCGGCCAGATCCGTGGCGGATTTGATCGGAAAAGGCCAGATCGAAGCGTTACGACACAAATCCGATGGGTCTGTGTCGTAATGCAACTTTCCGGCCAGATTCCGGCGGTGGTGGCTGGAATCTGGCACTGCGGGTGACGGGGGTGTTTTTGTTATTTTACAAAAATTTTATATATTGGGGTATTTAGTTAAATTTGTAAACCTAGGGGGTTTTTTAGAAATTTTTAAATTTATAAAAAACTAAAATTCAAACTTTTAAGGGCATTTTAGTCTTTTCACTATTAATAAACAGAAATCACTAACAGAAAATGACGAAAGGTACCTATTTGTCGTTTCAAAACCTTTTGAGTACCAACTTATCGTTACGGTAAACCTTGGGTACGTGTAAGTCGTTCTCCCTATTATTTAATATGGGTCTTGAAAAAAGTTTTACTGGGGCTCAAATAAAACTTCTTTACTAGAGCATATCATACTACTTGTTATTTCTATTTGAAGCAATATATAGCGTGGACAAAAATCTAAGAGAAAAAGGCCCCAGTAGGAAAATAAAACCATGATCAAGAACCCTATCCCTTCAAATTCTAAAGGCTTGTAATTGAAGAAGAAGGGATAAGTCAAATTCTAAAGGCTTGTAATTGAAGAAGAAGGGATAACTCAAATTCTACAGCACACCAACAAGCATGCTTAATTAATGCCTTATGCTATCAATACTATCTCTTTATTTTCTGTTCACTCTTCTAAGTTCCATCAAAATTCCACATCTTTGTGTTTTTTGTTGAATTAAGGAGAATAAATCATCACTTTTTTCGCTCAAAAATATAGTACAACAATTTTTTCTATAACTTAATATATTTAAAAAAAAAAAGGTTAAAATCATTAAAAAATAAGGTTAAAAGTCTTTATTATTATTATTATTATTTTTTTTTTTGTAACCATAGTATCTGGACCAGCTTACACACACATCAACTGATCTTTAGGGCCGGTCTATTAAACAATACTCTACAAACCTAAAGGACTAAGTAAGTCATAATATAGTAGATAGCCCTAAGATTTGAACCTAATAACTCAATGAAGGGAGCAAACGTACTTGACTATCAGTATGATTTTCTTCCTTCAAATTCTCTAATTAGTTACACAGTTAAGTACATAATTTTTAAGACATTAAATTGATTTTTGTGCCTTTTTTTTTTTATTTTTTGAAACAAACAAATAAAATTATGGGATTCATACTCAATGACAAATAGAGAATAATCTTGAATTTTATTTCTCTTTAAATTCATAGACCATAATCCTCAGTACAGGTACATGATTGATGGTTTTAGGAGAGGAATCTGATTCCTAAGGAAGAATTGGAGTAAAATCCAATGTTCTGAAAACAGGATCGGACCGACCGGTCAAACCGAGAACTGGCAACCTCTTCGGTCCGGTTCAGGTTATGGGGGGGTATGTTATATTTTAATGCTTATAGGGGCTAATTTAATTTTATAGGGGTATTTTTGCAATATTTCAAAACATTAGGGACTAATATTGGGCACTTTTGAAATATATTAAATTTTTAGGGACTAATTTAATTTTATAGGGACATTTTGCAATATACTAAAATTTGAGGCACTCATTTACAATTTTTTTTAAAAAATTGATTGTTAACGTCACTGGTCCGACCGGTCAAACCGTGAACCGGGCCCTTGACCAGTTCAAGGCCCGGTTTGGTTTTTACAACAATAGTAAAATCACATCAAGTTGGCAGAAAGGAATATTATACAAGAGTTAACAAATAATTATCAAGTCAAAGAAGAAATCAATGCTTAAGTTGCAAATTAAGAGTCATTAGGCCCTTGGTTGCAATTTCCTTTTATTTTATTAAGTTTATTATAAGTTAATTTTAGGGCAACTGACATCTTAAGCGTACTACCTCAGTGGTCCAACCTCCACAAGCAGTTCTTTTGAGATCCCGGGTTCGAGTAGTAAGACCTGAATTTTTGTTTTTTCACTTTGAAAACTGTCTCTCCCTCCCTAAACCCTCAAGACTTTTGTCTTCAACCTCTCACAAAACCCTCAACTCATTTACCACCACACCACTGTAAGCGCTGTATCGTACACTAAATTTCAACAATTTTTTTATTTTTTATTTTTTTATGTCCAACAAGTTATAAATGCATATTTATATAATTATTTTCCATAATAGTTGATCATTTGCAGCGTCAGTTGATCAAAATGCTGCAACCGCAGCAGAGTTCGCAGAACTTAGTGTTCACCAAGCAGCCCTACATCGAAGATGTTGGACCACGCAAAATGTCAGTCAGCTTTAACCGTAACAATCAAATAATTTTATTTTTGTTTGATTAATATTAATCAGTTAATTTCATTTTGATGTTGTTGTGTTCATTCACAGAAAGAGCATTCAGTTTTCAATGATGTCCGAGTCGGAGATCATGAAAGCTGCGGAAGTACAAGTGTACTTAGGCCAGTACTATAATTCCAATAGAGTGCCTATTCAAGGCGGTTTACTGGATCCTCGCATGGTATAGTTATATTGCTTAAAGTAAACAACATTTAGAATTCGATGAGTTGAATGCATATAATTATTTTGTTTGGCTCATTATTTGGAAACTGTACATGTGTTTGGTATTATTAATCAGGTGGATTGTTTAATTGAAATTTGATTTTGATGTTGATTGCTTTGACGGCTATGTCACTGCCTTTACCGTGATTGCTTTTTAATATTGTTTGATTTTGATGCAAGAATGTTTTAGTTTCAAGCATAGTAGAACTTATGCATGCTTGAAGACAACACAAGAACAAGTTTATTTCCTGTTATGAAGAAAAATATATGAATACTTTTCTAAATCATGACAGACTATATTGTTCTTGTCTGTCTACATTTTGCTGGTCTTTAGACGAGAAAGAAAATGTAATCGCTTTGTTCCTCTTTATGTTGACCCTTTTTTCTTTCGACTTCATTATCATGAAATTTTTGTTTTAGAAAGACAGTAAGGTTATTTCGATGCTTGATGGTTTATTTGCAATGTATTTTATTGTTCCTTTTGTTGCTTTCTTTTTTATCTTTTGTAAGGCAAATATAATATCTTCTTACAAAGGTTCATTTTTTGTGGGATTTAGGGTCCTGCAAATAAAAGTTGTTCATGTGCAACATGCCATGGAGGTTTTGGAGATTGTCCAGGGCACTTTGGATACTTGAATCTTGCTCTCCCTGTGTATAATGTTGGATATTTGAGCACAATCTTGGACGTCTTAAAGTGTATTTGTAAGGTAGTAGAATGAGTAAATTCATTTTATTTTCTTCCTTTTTCTAGTTGCTGTAGTTTCAGTAGACATATAGGTGTATCAGCATAAATCCTTTAATCATGTTAAAGATGGGACTTATGTTCCACAATGTAATAAAATGGGGCAGTTATTGCATGCATTTTAAAGTGCAAAGCTTTATTTAAT